ATCACTTTTCTCGTGGTGTATATGGAGATTTAATACTGTACAACCGATGGTCCAMACTAGACAAGAAGGACAAAGAAAACCAAGCCTCCTACTTTTGTATAGGAAACTAAGCGCGCCCATGTAATATCCTCTATTTATTATATAATTACCAATGAAATATCTATATTTATCATATAATTAGTATAGGAAATCGCACGATCTCGAGTACAATTTGGAAATTAATAGACACGAGTAATGTTTTGAAAGTTCTTGTAATTGCACGGGCCTTTAGGCGAGTGCAATTAAAGAATTTTCAAAACATTACGAGTGTCTATTAATTCCAAATTGTACGAGAAGATCGTGCGATTTCTTGTTTATAGTTCACTCAACAAAATTTCAGTAAAAAATGCGAAGCGACGCCGTTCATCTTTGTCTATTTGGCGGCCGATTTTCAGTCCATCGYGCAACTGAAATGCATAAAAAAGATTAGTTCTTACGGCTTTAAAATTTTATTTTTATGTTTTTTAAGTACAAAATGATAGAAAATAATTGTTTTGACATCGTTTTGTCCGTGTTGCCATAGCGACTTAAGTCTGTACTCCTACGGAGCACAATTAACGCTATAATTGTACTCCTCTCGACCAATCAGAGTCGAGTAATTTTGTTGAGTGTACTATAATCCATAAAATACCCACATTTCTCCTTTTCGAAAAACTGATATTTTCACATGTGAAAATAACATGTTCCTCTATATAATCGCCGTTGAAAATGAAAATGCCTAATCCGCTATATCAAGTGAATATGAAGTAATGATAATAATAATAATAAATAGAGGATATTACATGGGCCCGCAGAGATACGAATTTTATCTTCTGCAATCCGATTGGCTCTCATCAGTGCGATCTAATCACGAATCGCACCATTTTGAGTTTTGAATCTAACTGTTTTGAAGGGCCAATGAAATTACAAAAAATAGCATTTGACCAATCAGATATCAGAAAAGAAAAGTGAAAAAAGACATGAGAACAAAAATAGAAGGGATTTTTTTAGGTGAAAGACGGGTATTTTGACTAATTTTTGTAAAATTTAATTTCAATTGTATTATGATTGCAGGAGATTTCAAAATGGATATAATTAAGTGGTAATTGAATTACGTGATTAACAAATTGCACAACGCGAGTATCTCCTTTTATTAACAACTGCTGCGCGGTCGAGCAATTTTGTAATCACTCGTTTGATTTCAGACCAAATTGCACTCCACTCAGTTATCAATTACTATTTATATGAAATAAATAGGTTTACATTAAGGTATTTTTACGATTTTTTTTCTGTTTGTCATTTCTGCCACTAGGAATGCCTGTTAACGTTATATCTTCCCTTTCCCCCTCGTGTTTATAGAATAAAGACGACAAACACATTGATGATTTTTTTTAATATGAGACATTTGCATTTGGAAACATGCTGATATCAACATATCTACTATCCATCGTGCTTTTAAAACTAYCTTCCCGTCATAAGTCACTGACAAATAAAATACAATGTCACATAAAAAGTCAGCCATATTTTTTTTGTTATAAAATTTTAACCAATCAGTTCATTATTATTCCACCATTACTAGATTTAAAATCAAATCAAATGTTTGCTAGCCTAGAAACCAATGAAGGTTCTCCTAGTAACCTGGCATACACTTCAGAAGAATCCACTCTCATAGCTTGAAAAAGGTATACTTGTAGATTTCGAAAGGAAAACCTCGCGTTGTGTAACTCTTTCGCCATAGTAAGATCAATTAATCCAAGAACAAGATTAAATTTGAAGGCTAAATATCAAACTTCATGCTATACTTCGGTCTAGTGCTGCTGCTGGTGGGTATCGTCTTTTATTCACTTAGTTTATTTATACTTGCAGTGGTAATTGTCAAGTAAACACGAAATTATATTAATACCAAATACTTTGATCTCAAAAGGCAGTCTATTTTCCACGTTCTCTTTATATARGCTTTACCTGTTTAGTAAGTCTTCGTTAAAGAAAGATATCAAGTTAGTTTTCTTGTTGCGGTGAATATTGTACGAAGTATTTGAAAAGTTCTAGAGACACTACATCAAAAAAGAAAATAAATGACATTTCAAAATCCTAATTCTTTGGACGAAAAATGAATGCTGACACTATCTTCGCGATAACTTTTATTTCATCGGAGATTTACCATAATTGTTAATGTTCAAAACCAGCGCTTTTATTACTCTTAACTTCCTTTTAACTCCTTTTTAATCTTCAAAAGATTTTTTCATATTTTTTAAATATAAACGTAGCTCTTGTTTTCAATTTTGAAGATGGGTTTCATTGAGCTACGTTTTTGGCGAATAAAAAGAAAAAGTGAAGAAAAAAAGATCAAATACGAATTAAAAACTCAATTGTTTACCGGTGCTAATTTTACTTTCTAAAATGACCCAAATCAGTATTCGTTTTTCACATTTCATAACTTCCAGCAAAATTTTAATAGTATTTATTTAATTTTATGGAGTTGAATAAATTGTCCCGATTTATCAATAGGTATGTTATCTTTGTTGACCAAACTACAATTCCAAAAAAGGCACTATTTATCATCTTTTGTAACTGTGTAATTTTATAGCGGAGCTCCYGCGCGAGCGGAGCACCATAGGTATAGAATATGGTAAACTATGCAAGTAAGTTTTCGTGGTCATCGCATGGGAACCCTGTGCGTAACGCTAAAAGTGTCGCCCGCCAGGTGTACATCGCGTTTCTGATTGGTCGAGCTTTCAAATCACATGTCATTTGGAAAAAGACGACTTTTTTTAACGAGCTTTTTTACTATCATTTTTTTGTATTGTAAAAACGAAACAAAAAATTATTGAAGAAATCATGGAAAAAAAGAATTCGCCAGAGTGTGAAGATAGAGGTTAGGACATTTTCTATTTTGTTTTATTTAGTGTAGATAACATAGCTACAACATTACCGGAAAACGAGCAACAAACTAGTATGACGAACGAGCGAAAAAAATACTTGTTTTGTTTTTATGGTAAGAGTATTCGTAGTTCATACCTGATATAAAATAATCATTTGAAAAAGCACTTTTTGAATTCCACAATTAAACAAATCCAAGAGATTTTTGACAAAGTTTAAAGCTAAATAACCTAAATTCCTAAAATTACCGGCAAACGAGCAACGATCTAGAATGACAAACGTGCGAAAAAAGTGTACCTGTTTTGCTATTAGTATAGGAAATCGCACGATCTCGAGTACAATTTGGTAAGTTCTTGTAATTGCACGAGCCTTTAGGCGAGTGCAATTAAAGAACTTTCAAAACATTACGAGTGTCTATTAATTCCAAATTGTACGAGAAGATCATGCGATTTTTTGTTTATAGTTCACTCAACAAAATTTTAGTAAAAAATGCGAAGCGACGCCGTTCATCTTTGTCTATTTGGCGACCGATGTTCAGTCCATCGCGCAACTGAAATGCATAAAAAAGATTAGTTCTTACGGTTTTAAAATTTCATTTATATGTTTTTTTAAGAACAAAATGATAGAAAATAATTGTTTTGACATTGTTTTGGCCGTGTTGCCATAGCGACTTAATTCGGTACTCCTACGGAGTACAATTAACGCTATAATTGTACTCCTCTCGACCAATCAGAGTCGAGTAATTTTGTTGAGTGTACTATAATAATGGTAAGAGTACTTTCATTTTGAATTTCATTCAATAATTCTATATCTTTCTACGGATAATTTATCTAAATATTGAATGAGTTTTAAAATTACACCAAATATCCAACTTGAGCTTAAATTTGTGTTGTTGTGAGATATGTTATTGTATAAAGAGCGGTGCCTTGTCTTTCGCTTTCACAAGCTAAGAAAATATTTAAAAACGTTTCCAAATGCCAATTTACTGACAAAGAAAATTTTATTTTGTATTCGCATTGCATTTTGCGTTATTTTCTATTTTGCCTCAGTTGTTCTTGTCAAGTATAAATGAATGTAAACTCATTCATTAGTTTTTCAAAAACTTTTGTTTTTTAACAAGATGAAAACTGGTAATTAAAATTGAATTTTCAAAATCTAGTAAGCTTATGTTTTCAAGCTTCTCGAAAAATAGTTAAGACTTTTATGAATGAAAATACGGTTCTTGNATAGTCTTGATTTGTCCATAAAAGTTCGGAAATCTCCAAAATTTCGATTTCAATGAAAGACATCCGAGGTAAATTTCACTAAACCTGATATTGTATTGGATTATTTGTAGTTATCTTTCGTTTTATGAGTAAAATGAACCAGGAATTCAAAGCTTTAAAAATGTCGGCCATGGAAAACTTTGTCGAAGAATCTTCCAAGAAAAAAACTAGCCCCTGGGGGGGCTGGTGGTGAGTTGTGTACAAAATATATTCTTATAAGTTGGATCGGGAGAGTATTTTCGCGCAAAAAAACGATGTAGTGCATTTTGATTCGTTTTCAGTGCATGTTTTTCTATTATGGGAGACATTATCTTAATATTGAATAAAAAAATTGAATATTTTTTTCCGATTTTAATTTTATCTTACACATTCATTCAAATTGGGCTCCCTGTGACTTGTTTATCGGGAGCTCCGCTTTTAGGCAGTGCCTAAATATATTTAATAATATTTCATTTTTGTCATTTTTTTAATGAATCGAAAAATTATTTATGATCAATATTTTTATTGCTATCTCCCTGCCGAAAGTTATAAACTACTTACTTATTTCCAATATGTATATTATTTGCAATTCATTCTAGGTCAGCGGTTGTGCACCATTCTCTATAAAGCAACATTATGCCCAAAGCCCAGGTAAGGTTAAAAATTGTAACTCTCTTCTGGACGAGTAGCAATACTAATAATCTGCGTAGCCCTTATCTTTAGAGGTATACCAARGTAATTAATGTTATTCCAGTTTTGATTCTCCCTTGCTCAGCGTTAGTTCAGTTCTATTTTGAGAATAATACTGGAACTTTAAACTGTCTTATTGTCGAAGTTGCGCATCCTTTATTTTATCCCGAGCAACAAAGATRCATTTTACGAATTCCATTGTACATTTATATAGTTAGGTCTTTCGCTTCGCCTCTTCTTAGTCATTCTCCTCTTTCTTTCCACTCTGTCATGCGTAATTAACGTTTCTAAACTTGTCTTATTAGAATGTGGACACGTCGAAGGCAATTTGCTCCAAAGTCCAGGATATCCACATAATTACCCAACCAACACCCACTGCGCCTACGCTATTCCTCTTGACAAAAATAAAGCATTGAAACTACAGTTTCTTCATTTTGACGTGGAGCCATCGGTTGACTGCAGGTAATTTCCACAATGTTAAAGACGTTACTTTTCCACGCGTGACTTGGCTCATATCCGCATCGATTCCCATATAGTTGCAGTTATTAAGACCATCCACCGTTTCTAAWAGTAGTAAATTTCCGTGCGTTTATCATCATAATGCTAATTACCTTATCGTATAAACAAGTTTGCGACCTTGAGACCCTTACTCGGGAAATTTAGCGTCTATGCGTGATCAGCTTAAAATAGCTAACGCCAAACATGTGTGTTGATAAAGCAAAAAAATTGTCCAATGACAATAATTAGTTCAGTAAATCTGTCCTTATATTGGCAATTATAAGCAGGTCAGTARTACATATTGGATTGAATTTGTGTTACACTTTCTCGTAGTTACGATTATGTAGAAGTGAAAGACCAAGAAGTAAGTTATGGAAAGTACTGTGGCAACACCTTACAAGGTGACGAAATGGTGATTGACGACACGCCATTTGTATACATCGAATTTCACTCTGACAAATCTCTCACTAAAACTGGGTTCCAAATAAAATTGGAAGACGTCGATAAAGGTAGGCATGCACGCAGTCAGATAAGGGAGTTAGAGTGAGGAAGAAATTGTTGAAGCAAACATTGAAAAAAGTAACACYATCTTCTACTATCTTCTATGTAATGAAGAGGTGGAGTCTAATAAGACTATTTTATKTGCTATATAGCTACTCTAACCAATGTCAAACTTTATCACAATACAGCAAATTACAAAATCAATTTAAATAAAATATTGTTTCAACAGCAAGGCATTCTGATCTCTTTGCCTTTTCTTAGACATAGACTCAAAAACTTAACAATCGTTAGTTTTGTGCTTTATGTACTCGATGTAAAATTGGATGGTTTATACCGATATTGGCGAGAGTTGCCTTGCTTTTGGTAGTTCCGTGCAAAGCATGCAAATATATTGGTAATATATTTTATCTAATCTTTCTATTAACGTTCCTGTCAAACAACTGGGATTCATGTTTTCAATGGCAAATTACGGTCCTACAACGCATTAAAATTTTTCAACTTTGTTTGATCAAGCACCATGAATCAAAAAAATATTTTTTTTACATATTTTCAGGGCATGTTAATGGAGGGCACGAGGTCGAAACGGTAACGGTTGCAAACACCGAGGCACTCCACTTGAAGCCAACAACACCTCTTGATTTTAAAACACCGTCAAAACCAAAAGCAGCCTCCGAGTACAACGAAAAACAAACTACTTTACCGTCTACTGCTGAAACCAATCAACCCAATCCTTTCACAGAATTTAAAACTTCCGAAGCTATACCCGATATCTTTCCAACAAATAATAGAGCTACATCCGATATTTTTCCTACGAAAGACACTACACCTGATGCCTTCCCGACAAACGAAGCCACACACGAGTTCTTCCCGACAAACGAAGYCACACCCAACGTATTCCGAACAAACGAAAAAACACCCGATGCCTTCCCGACAAACGAAGCCACACACGAAGTCTTCCCGACAAACGAAGCCACACACGAGTTCTTCCCGACAAACGAAGCCACACCAAATGTATTCCGAACAAACGAAAAAACACCCGATGTCTTCCCGACAAACGAAGCCACACCCGAAGTCTTCCCGACAAATGAAGAAGGAACAACCGATGTCTTTCCTACAAACGAAGCCACATCCGATGTCTTTCCAACAAATAAAGCTGCAACCGATGTTTTCCCGACAAACGAGTATAGCCAAACTGCCTCGGAGACTATTGAAATGACAAGTAAGCTATTTGTTAGTGATCTTCCCAACTTGAGCTTTGATAAGTAAAGTTTGAAAATACAGATGCGTTTTAGAACGTATTTTTATTTTTAAGATAACATTCATTTGCCTACTAAGCATTATAAAATGATATATAATGAACTACAATAGCACAGTGGCTTAATAAAATAACGGGATGCCATTACATTGGTATAGCATGCCATATCGTGTCCAATGGCTTGAGTCATTGCCTTAAGTTATACATTAAAGAACATTGACTGAACTGCATGGAAATTGTCATTCTTGCATTGCAGAAGCAAAGCCAACYACCAATGAACGTCTAGACAGATTTGTCACAACTAAAGAAAGCAACATTCCTGACTCTTCTCCAGATAAACGACAAATGAAACAAGGAATTTCAAATGACAAYAGTGAAGAAGATCCCTCTGCTACTACTAGTGCTGAACTAAATGCAACAGACGCCATGATAAATGCCTCGGCATCATCGGTAAACGAAAGCTTTCCTACTGAAGTTCCAATGTGGAATGAAAGTATTGTGTCCAGTAATGTTACAGGTAGTGAAGGCGCACCAACTGAAGCGACAGAAACGCCTGAAGGGAATGTTGATTTGATGAGCACCATGTATCCCACACTTGAGCCAGAGYCAACAAGTTACAACCCAGAACCTGAGGGCCATGTTCTTGACAAATTGTAAGTGTTTGTACATGCATGTATATAATAAAGGAATTTGTTATAATCCTCTTAATTCGCAGCGGCAGATTTAGAGAAAAGGCACAGGCCAAGACGCCATTTTTCGTCTTTCCATTTGCCAGATATTCTTTTATTCTCCTTACGTGAAATATTTGAAATATTGTTACCCTAAAATCTCGATTATAAGCCCATAATCTGAATATCCTTGCAGGTTAAAAGCACCCCTCTGGCATCTTTTGTTGATGCATAAAAAGAAAGAAAGAAACGTTTCCTCTTCATCCTGAAGTCTTCCCCCAGTATAAGCCCCCCCCACTTTATAAGCCAGTCAAAAACCCTTTTCAAATGAGAATAAGCCCAGTGTTTATAGCCGGAATTTTACAGTAGATCACTACAACTATCTACTTTCATGATATGCTGTATCAGTCCCTGACAACCCATTATGTAAGGTTCTGTACCCTTTAATTATGTGCYATTTTCTTTATTTCAGAAAACTAATGGCCTTGCTACAGCGCATCAAATTTGCTGCACTACAAGTAAATATATACTTAGCAATTATTGGATGAAGCTGAGTATGATATATAAAAAATTGCATAACGAGGAGAGTGTTATCCGCCGAAGCCGAAAGCTGAGGTGGATAACAATCTTTGAGGTACGCATAATTTTGTATATCATACGATAGCCGAATTTCAATTATTGTTTTATTATTTATTCAAAATATTTTCAAARTAATTTAGCCATTTTTTTTCACCTCGGTATAAAAGTTCTTCCGTAAAACAGCGAGTTCTTGGCTATTTTTGRGTAAATTGGTTACTCCTTTTTCCTTCAGATATTGGTCGAAGGGTATTTTGCTGCGTTTGGTACATTTTTGGTGTCTTTTGACTCTTTTTCGTCCAACATTCGTCGTATTTCGTCTTCATTCAAGCTCGCAAACTTTCCCTGTTGGGAAGCCATTTTGCAATTGTGTGGCGCGCGTTTCCATCTATGATGACGTCATTCGTCCAATAACTTTTTACTTATTCAACGGTAAACAATAGTGTTAGATTCCTGTTATGCATATTAGACAACACGAAGAGAAGGTTGGCAAAAATTTATCTTTTTGATTGGTTTTTAGATGGAAGAACTYCTCATTGGTAAAATTGTTGAAGAAGAAGTTCGTGAGTCGAGGAATACCAAGGAAGCAAAGAGTATGTATATATAGAAGTGAAACATCTTAATTCGTCTATTGCACTTCTAGTATATGTGACATTTTAGTAGCGTTGAGTTTCAACTCATGATAAGCAAAACAGGAGATATGGCAATAAAGAGTAGATCGAATGTTTTAAAAGGGTTTGCATGAGAAAATGCTCTGGCATGGCATACAAGAGCTTACTACCCAATAATCTTCATATATACAATATTATTCAATATTTGATTTTATGATTTCATTTCATTTTTCCAACTTTTGAGGTGAAACTTCGCCCTCTTACTAATGTCGAGGCGCTCTTACTAATGTCGAGGCGCTCTT